CAGTTGTTGTTTTTAGAGCATTATTGTTTTTTTACAATCAAACAACTGTGTTCGATTGCTCAATGTATATATTAATACGAATGTACACACATGCTATATTCATACACAGGCATACATATGTATGTATGTTTCTTTTTACTTTTTCAACCGCACGTAGAGAACCGCACACATAGACACGAACTGTTGCTTGTTGTGTGTGTGAGTGTGTGTATGTTATGTCCCCAACTATTTGATATTTGTTGTTGCTGCATAAAGCTATTAATGAAAACCCTAATGCCAAATGCACTAAACAAAGAAAAAATTAATTTTAAAAATGTTATATAATTTTCAATTAATTAACATTTCTTGCTCTGTCAGTGCAAGACGAATGTACATACATAAATACATATGTAGATACATATGTACATACATAGATGTGCACATATGTATCTATGAACATTCACACATTTTGATTTGGCTATTTCAATCGTTTGCACGGAACTACACGAACAGCTGTTTGCATGTGTGTGTGTGTGTGTATGTATACTTAGTTGTCCCCAACTGTTTGATATTTTGTATTGTTTGTTCTACCTGCATTTGTAAAATGCATATTTTATTTGTTTTCTTTTATTGATTTCAGAAACCAAGTTTTATGTCGATCGGCTAAAAAATGCGGATTTTTCAAACAAACTTTGGAGCTCGTTTTCCCCCTTTGGAGCTCGAATTTTCCAAAATCCCTTCATAGTGCACATCTACACTATGATGGGATACTTGAGCCCAAATTTCAGCATTCTAGCTTTTGCCGTGTGGGCTGTGGGCTGTTGACGCGGTTTCCTTTTCTGCCTCAACATTTTTTTTGCAGGAAAACTCCCATATTTCGAAATTTGTGTTGGAGCTTGAATTATTGGGATTTCAATATTTGTTCATTTTTATACCCTGTACCCAAAGGGTACAAGGGTATATTAGTTTTGTGCGAGTGCACATGGAACACACAGAAGAATTAGGAATTAGAATTTAATTAAATTAATTAATTAATTTAATTTCTTTTTTGTGGGGTGGTACAGGGTATTTAAGAGTTGAGCCTACTCGACTTTAGCATTCCTTTCTTGTTTCAAATGAAAAGTTTGTGTTATAAATTTTGTCCGATCGATTTCAAATTTGGGTAATATAATCTACGTAACTAAAATTACAACTTTGCATTTAACGATTTTCAAAATATGCATTTTACAAAACCAGGCAGAACAAACAATACAAAATATCAAACAGTTGGGGACACCTAAGTATATATACACACACACAAACAAACAGCTGTTCGTGTAGCTGCGTGCAAACGATTGAAATAGCCAAAGCAAAATGTGAGACACTAAGTGTGAATATCCATACATATGTGCACATCTATGTATGTACATATGTATCTACATATGTATGTATGTACATTTGTCTTGCACTGACAGAGTAAGAAATGTTAATTAATTGAAAATTATATAACATTTTTAAAATTAATTTTTTCTTTGTTTAGTGCATTTGGCATTAGGGTTTTCATTAATAACTTTATGCAGCAACAACAAATATCAAATAGTTGGGGACATAACATACACACACTCACACACACAACAAGTAACAGTTCGTGATGGTGTGCGGTTCTCTACGTACGGTTGAAAAAGTAAAGAGAAACATACATTTGTATGTATGTATGTATGCCTGTGTATGAATGTATACATTGGGCAATCGAACACAGTTGTTTGATTGTAAAAAAAATAATGCTCTGAAAACAACAACAACTGCAAGTCATTGGCTCGCTCTTCTTCTTTCGTTTTGACCATTTAATGTTAATTGCAAAGACTAAACGACAAAAGTTTACAGTTACCGTCGCTAGGCAACGACTGCGTAAGCGATAGTAAAGCAGAAACCGAATAACGGAGCTACGCATATTCTACTTCGCATTGCGGGCAGATGTATGTATGTATATGATTTGTTCTTATTGATCTCAACAAATAATTAGATTTTATTATTTAAATATTCTGCTTATTGCATTCAAACTTCGATATTTTGATGGTATCGGTGGCTTCAACTATCGAAAGTTTTTCTCTAGCAAATTGAGATGAGAATTGTCAGTGCTTTTTGATCGTGGCTCATCGCTGCACGGCATTGCCACGAATGCCGTGTTTCATATTCCGAGTTTGTGCGTGACCGTATTGACTCAATATGACACGAAAAGGCTCAAATGTGAATTTAAAATTAGGATATACCCTTATAATTATTTATTTTTTTGCACATAGTCTATCTTAAAACGTTGCGTTATTTCTATATATAAAACAGTTTGTGCTGACTAATTGGTGATCAACGCACAGCCCAAACGGTAAAAGATGAAATTTGGACTCAAGTATCCTTTCATAGTATCCATCATAGTGTAGGAGCACACTAAGAAAGGCTTTTGGAAAATTCTAGCTCCAAAGGGTGGAAAACGAGCTTTAAAAAATATTAGTTATAGTGGTCATGTTCGTTTAACGAAATAGTTTGTCAAGAACAAAAATGTAACGGACTACTGAACAATTTTTTGCCACGAACAGAAAATGTTCATTTAAATACTTTAAATGCCTTCCGACTGGTAACTTATAAGGTGAAAACATATGGGTAGGTTATGCACACACAAAATAAATACAATTGGAAACATTATATTGAGCCGGGTTAAGACGGGCAATACCTGCTAGTACTTATATATGTTTGTAAGTATGTATATATGTATGTATGTATATATGTATATGTATGCATGAAAAAAAAATGTATGTACATATCAGCGTTGCCGAACGGTCCAATTTTGGCGGGACGTCCCGATTTAAAAATCAAAACTAAATGCGTACAACGTGCTGAGGAAGCACACAGTTAAGTCAGGAGTGGCAGTCCGCCCGGTGCGTAACGAAGATATGTAAATATGTATGTATGTACGTATAACCATACATAGTACTTATTGTACTATATTTGCTTTTTGGAAAATGAACTGTTTAAAAAACTTTAGAGAGCGTCGAATGAAGAATATCATATAGTAAATAAACTTTTAATTATAAGCACATTTTTCCTAGCCCAGCAAAGACGGACAAGACCTGCTAGTTTACTTATATGTATATAAGATCTTAGAAGATTTTATAATATTCTTTTGTGTGTTATCCATATAGTATATACATATGTTAAAGTATATTTGTAGGTGTATAGGTACTGGTAGATTATGTTTACGTATCGGGATAGTATTTACATATGTTAATGTATATATGGACATAGGTGTATAGGTACTCGTAGATTGTGTTAAAAATCATACTAGTTATGGACGTGGCGCACCCCTCAAAGAGGGGAGAGACAAGCCGAGTCGATATAGCCATGTCCGTCTGTATAGCGCAAGGATCCCAGCAAGTACAAGAGCTAGAGCTACCAAATTTGGTTTCCAGGTTCAAGTCACTCCCCTGCTAGTAATAATCGAGCACTCCACTTGTTGGAATAATGTTTGAACCGGCATCAAGATGTATTAAAGTTTCACATACCTAGTATATTCTTGTTCTTGAATAAACAAATATCGATTTGGAAACTTGTTCGTTTTCCAGGAATAAATTATATTTATAACTTCCAATAGGCGTTTGTTTATATAACTCTTTTTTAAAGAATAACCAGACTTATACCTTAATATTCAAGAATAAAATAGAAACAAATGAACAAAATTGTATTAGTATTTAAGTCGGGAAAATAAAAAAAAACAAGAAATGACTGTGTAAGTTTGTTTTATTTTTTTGATTTTCCCCCCACTTCCCCCTATGGGGGTTTTCCCGATTTTCCATTCGTATAATCGTATATAATCTCGAAGACTATAAGACCTACGGACATCAAATTTAAAGTCCAAGATGCCTTATGTGAATACGCAGAAAATGTGTTTTTTGGAATTCCCCTCCACCTCCCTCTCCACCGCAAATCGTAACTACTGTAATTCTTGGAATTTCGAACTCTCTGGTATCCATCATATCGACAGAAGGACATGTCTAGATTAATTGTATGTATATACTTTATGCTGTATCTTTCTCCCTGTTTCATACTTTGCACAAACCGAATATACAATTTTTACTCTTCGGGTGCAGGGTATAAACAACGCGTATAAGTACAACCTGTCTCTTCTCAAATCAAGTACGGTTTCAAGGTACAAGTCAGGGCGAAATCAAAGGAAAATTTGTTTAAATTCAAGGAAATTCGCTGACATCGCTCAACGTGTTAAGTGTATTCACTTTAAGTAACCAGTAAATGGTCTAGAAGCTGGTGCAGAATTGTACCTCTGAGGCTCGAGCGCCTCAGCTCAAGTGCAAAAAAATATGGGGCGTTAAATGGGATATTCTTAACATACAACAGTAACTGCCATCGTCGACCTCGCTATCGTCATTGCTGTTGTTGGTTATGGTGCTGTTAACGAACTCAAGTGGCAACCTCAGCAATTTGTAAAAGGACACAAAACCAAATAGAAACAGCGACTCAAGACATTCGCACAAGTGAAATCAAATCAATGCTAAGTGTGCAGTAAGACAATTTTAGATCATGTAGATGTGAAGCAGACGGCACTTCTGACTTGTTAATCAAGTGGGGGCACTCGTCGTTGCAGCCAAAGGTCGCTGTCTAGGACAATTCTTGTAGGGTTATTATTGAATTTCATTGAAAATTTCATAATTACCGAATGGGTATATTTTGCATTCTCCATTCTGTATTTTTCAATTCCACTATTTTTTTCTCTATGCCATGGCAACGTCGAGTAGTCAACGGGCTGGCAATTTTGCAATTTTCCAGTTTCCCATGGCACTTGCCTGCTCAAGTGGTCGTTTGTTGAGCTGGGCGCACTCAATGCACTCATGCTCGAGCCGAGAATGTGGGAGGCTTACTGACGGTCTGACTATCTGCCAGGTTGGCCGGTTAGCCACTGGTTTTATTCTCACCTGTCTGAGAACATGTTTTTCGAAAACATTGCCTTAACTCTGAACTGTTCGTTTTATTTTCAGAGAAACTTAACGTTTTGTACGAACGAAACTGGACGATGCTGGTGCACGAGCAGCTGCGCCGCTTTGAAGGCTCCATTGTGGCGGCCACGCGGCAGGGTGGTTCCACCGCAGCCTCCACATACAGTGGATTGTCTGCTAATGCCCTGGGCCACTTTGGATATGATGCGGCGGCAAGCGGAGAGCGTTGGACATTCAGTGAAGCTCTTCTCTATTCGGTTACTGTGATAACAACAATTGGTAAGTTCGTTTTAAAGTCACTGCAGAGTAAACTTTCGCTTTTCGGCTGTGCTGGGCTCTGTTAGCCGTAGATGTCTAAGCTGTTTGCATTGTGTGCGTTGAGTGTGTTGAGTGTGTATCGGTGTGTGCTTGTGTACTTATTATGATTGCCAAGTTGGGCTCTGTAATAACCTTAAATATTTACATTGCTTAGGGGGCAACAAACGCATGGAGTACCGCTTGACATTTGCAAGAAAGCCGCTAGTGCGTAAACAGTTGTGGCAGCTGTGTGGATAGACACATCCATATTACGTATTCGCCGCCATGTGCGACTAAAATATTTGCATATGCTAAACGTTCATTAAATAGATGTTGCGAATGAGTATATATAGCATCAACAACAGTAAAACAAACATCGAATTCATTGAGCTCATTTTACCTACATAATACTTTCTCATAATTCTGTGTGACTTCGTTGATTTTTATACTCTGTACATGAAATGTACAAGAGTATATTAGGTTTGCGGGAGCTGAAAAATGTAACAGGCAGAAGGAGGCGTGGCAGACCCCACAAAGTATATATATTCTTGATCAGCGTGACAAGACGAGTCGATCTAGCCCTGTCTGTCTGTCTGTCCGTCTGTCCGTCCGTATGAACACCTGGATCTCAGAGACTATAAGAGATAGAGACACCAAATTTTCCACAAAGATCCGTTATGTGTGTATTCTATACGAGTTTGTTTTATTTTTTTGATTTTCCCCCCCACTTCCCCCCTATGGGGGTTTTCCCGATTTTCCATTCGTATAATCGCCTATATCTCGGAGACTATAAGACCTAGGAACACCAAATTTTAGTCCAAGATGCCTTGTGTAAATACGCAGAAAATGTATATTTTGGAATTCCCCTCCCTCCCCCTCTCCCCCGCCAATGCGATTTTCTCTAACTCCCGTAATTCTTGGAATTTAGAACTAAAATTTTGCAAATACCCCCAGTTAGTAATTATGTGTCCGTGTGCCATAAATATATTTGCTGCTGCAGCGCTGCTCAAGCGCTGCCCGCGGCTGTTGTTGATGTTGCTGTTTGGTTGACTGCACACATGTTTACACAGACACGAATAGATGCGCATAGGCATACATACACTCACACAGACGCAATTGCTATGTAAATGTGCAATTATACACCCTTGACGTGAGTTCGAATACCGAGAGAGGTAAAATCGATCCAATTTTTTTTTTATATATATATTTTTTTATTTTCTATAATTATTGTAAACATATGTACAGAGTATTTCAAAGTCGGGACATCCGACTTTAGCTTTTTTACTTGTTTTTAAAGATTTTATAAATCTATAAGAACAATTTAAAGGAGCGTTTGATAGCCCCACTAACTAAAATAATAATTATTCATCTTTTCTCCTTAACAGGCCACGGCAGTTTGACGCCACGCACAGCAGCTGGAAAACTAGCCACAATTTTCTATGCCCTCATTGGCGTGCCGCTAATGCTGATGTGTCTGTCCAGCTTGGGCGCATTGCTTGCAGAGGCGCTACAATGCACCTATGTGCGGCTCTGCTGTCATCTACAACGTGCCCATGCCAAAGAGAAGACGCAAGATCTGGCCACTGCGAAAGGACGCCAAACAGCCTCCCATGGGGTGAGTCAAGCAGTACGAATGATTGAAGCTATTTGTGTGCTTAAGAGCTAAAAAACTGTAGCTGTAATTGTAACTGCAATTTTGATTAGATATCTGTCAGACAGTTGTTATCCTATCTCTCTTCAGAGAGTTGTTATCCTATCTCTCTTCAGACAGTTTTTATCCTATCTCTTGCAACCACTATATAAGAACCTTAATATAATTCCTCAACAGGCCATTGCTTCCGGGATATAGCTTATTAATTGTTCCAGTCTTTTAGCAATTTCTTCTCTTCAAAGGGTATTCCATCCTAAAACGTAAATTTATTGGACAAAATATATAAACAACAAGAGAGAACGCTACAGTCGAGCAAGCCCGACAGTGTAATACCCTGTACCCAGGTAAACTTCCGTCACTGAGTTATATGCGCCCATAGCAGCAACAAAAAGAGGAAGAAGAAGAGCGAACTTGTTGCTGCAGTTTGGTGGGGTTGTACTGGCGAGAATTTGTTTCGCTAATAACTTTTCTTAGAATTGACCGAATTGAATAAAATTTTGAACAACAGTAGACAATTATATATAAATTATGTGTGCAAAGTTTGGTTGAGGTAGCATTTGAAATGTGGACGCTATTGACGAAATTCTGTAGCGGGGGAAGGGGGGGAAAATTAAAAAAAAAAAAATAAACTCGTCCTTACTCGGACCTAGGAGAATCTGGATGCCAACTTTGGTTATTCTAGCTTTCATAGTTTCTGAGATCCTCGCGTTCATCCAGACGGACGGACAGACGGACGGACATGTCTAGATCGATTTCTCTCGTCATGCTGATCAAGAATATATATACTTTATGGGGTCGGAGATGCTTCCTTCTGTATGTTACATACTTTGCACAAACCTAATATACCCTTTTTACCCTACGGGTACAGGGTATAAAAATTGTTATTAAAATTGTGAAGTTTTGTTCTACTTAGCAATTTAAGATGTAAATGTAAAATGTACAGAAGTATATTAGGTTTGCGGGAGCTGAAAAATGTAACAGGCAGAAGGAGGCGTGGCAGACCCCACAAAGTATATATATTCTTGATCAGCGTGACAAGACGAGTCGATCTAGCCCTGTCTGTCTGTCTGTCCGTCCGTATGAACACCTGGATCTCAGAGACTATAAGAGATAGAGACACCAAATTTTGCACAAAGATGCGTTATGTGTGTATGCTATACGAGTTTGTTTTATTTTTTTGATTCCCCCCCCCCCACTTCCCCCCTATGGGGGTTTTCCCGATTTTCCATTCGTATAATCGCCTATATCTCGGAGACCATAAGACCTAGGAATACCAAATTTTAGTCCAAGGTGCCTTGTGTGAATACGCAGAAAATGTATATTTTGGAATTTCCCTCCCTCCCCCCTCTCCCCCGCAAATGCGATTTTCTCTAACTCCCGTAATTCTTGGAATTTCGAACTAAAATTTTGCAAATACCCCCCGTTAGTAATTATGTGTCCGTATGCCGAGTTTCACTATGATAGACCGATTTACCAAGAAGTTATAGCCATAAATATATTTGCTGATGCAGCGCTGCTGCAGCGCTGCTCAAGCGCTGCCCGCGGCTGTTGTTGATGTTGCTGTTTGGTTGACTGCGAAAATGCTTACACAGACACGAATAGATGCGCATAGGCATACATACACTCACACAGACGGAATTGCTATGTAAATGTGCAATTATACACCCTTTACGTGAGTTCAAATACCGAGAAAGGTAAAATCGATCATTGAATTTTTTTTTATTTTCTTAATTTTTTTTATTTTCTATAATTATTGTAAACATATGTGCAGAGTATTTCAAAGTCGGTACATCCGACTTTAGCTTTTTTACTTCTTTTAATATTTATAATTATTCGAAACTTATGTAGAGAGTATTTCAAAGTCGGGACACCCGACTTTAGCTTTTTTACTTGTTCTAATGCTATTTACGGGTATCCGAATGGTGTAGGGTATAATATAAGAGTGATTTAATCGAGCCTTGGGATGAGGAGAATCTGAGTAGTTGTAGTAAACATTATATTTTCTTGAATATGTACTTTTTGGGGTCAAATATGCTTCTGATATATGTTTGTTACATACTTGCACTCTGTACATGAAATGTTAAAGAGTACGAGTATATTAGGTTTGGTGATTTGAATTTTTGACTCAAATTTAGCAAATACTTCCAGTTATTGATTATGAGTCTATGTGGCAAGTTTCATTATGATGGCCGATTTTAAATGAAGTTATATGTATACAGATATAATCTCTGCTCATGCGCTGCCGGCAGCTCTTGTTGTTGTTTGGTTCAACTTTGTACTGCATACATGCTATACTAGTTTTGCGCGGAGGCATGGCAGACCCCTAAAAGCATATATATTCTTGATCAGGATGACCGTTTGTCTACAGATCTGTCTGTATGAATGCAAGAGTCTCAGAAAGTAGAAGGGCTTGCATAACCCAAGTTGGTATCTCCTAACTCCGAGAAAGTTAGAGTTAGACTTTTCTTTCGATGCAACCTCCCACTCCCCCGCCATTAGTATTTTCAAGTGATTTAGTGATTATGTAATACTTAACGTACGGAGTTAAGTTTCATCATGATAGCCCTTTAGCTTCTTCACTTGTTTTCTATTATATCTTAATTATAATCTCCTTTGGTTGTAAGCCATGTAAATCTTCCGTTTGTTCGATTTTTTAGCTCACAAAAATGCAACGCAAATAGGTACCACTAATTTATAAGATTTCTTGAATTGCAGCTTTTTTGAAAAGAGCGCAATTCTTTTGCGTCAAAAAAAAAAAAATTGAGATCTGTCTTTCGTTAACTTTGATAGAAGTTGTAGGAGTTAAAGGCAAAGAAGGCGACTATAGGGATCAAAAGTCAGACTACTACTACACAGCCTCTTTTTTTATCAGGCAGCAAAAGTGTATCTGATTTGTGTGTAAAAGAAAATTTTTATACCCTGTACCCGTAGGGTAAAAAGGGTATATTAGGTTTGTGCAAAGTATGTAACATGCAGAAGGAAGCATCTCCGACCCCATAAAGTATATATATTCTGAATCAGCATGACGAGAGAAATCGATCTAGATATGTCCATCCGTCCGTCTGTCCGTCCGTCTGGATGAACGCGAGGATCTCAGAAACTATAAAAGCTAGAATAACCAAAGTTGGCATCCAGATTCTCCTAGGTCCGAGAAAGGACGAGTTTATTTTATTTTTTGGAATTTTCCCCCCCTTCCCCCGCTACAGAATTCGTCAATAGCGTCCACATTTCAAATGCTACCTAAACCAAACTTTTCACACATAATTTATATATAATTGTCTACTGTTGTTCAAAATTTTATTTAATTCGGTCGATTCTAAGAAAAGTTATTAGCAAAACAAATTCTCGCCAGTACAACCCCACCAAACTGCAGCAACAAGTTCGCTCTTCTTCTTCCTCTTTTTGCTGCTGCTATGGGCGCATATAACTCAGTGACGGAAATTTACCTGGGTACAGGGTATTACACTGTCGGGCTTGCTCGACTGTAGAGTTCTCTCTTGTTTTGTATTAGCAGAGTGTTTTTATTTAAAACTGTTCATCGTGGACAATCATTAAATTTGTTAAATAAACTTGACGCTTAATTATTTCATTCATGATTAAAAGAAAGTATTTTGATCGTAGCTCGAGCCATTCACAATGCAATGAAGAAAGCCGGTTGGATGGATCTGATGTTTATAGTTAAAACTTGGACGATATATGGAATGTAGAATATTTATAAAATCGAAATTACAGTTTCGGAGGCGGTTTCATGGTGGGGGAAACTAAAGCGTTCTAAGAAACTTTTGACCTGAGGTGTCTAATATTGCAATTGAATTCAGAAAATGTTCTGAATTGGAATATGTATTTGGGATTTTGAAGTGCCATTTCCACCAAAATATGTTGCAATTCATAATGTCCTCGAAGTCAAGACATGTATTCAAGTCCAGAAAGTGACTTTGCTTGAGTAACCTCCATATTCTACAGACCTAATTGTTATTCAGGGTGTTTGGGTGTGAGTGTATAGAAAAGCAGGAAAACAGTTTTAAACAATACAGTCACTTATCCATGCCATAGATTTCGTAAAGTTTGGCGTTTATCGATTTCTCTGGTCATACTGAATAAGAATATATGTATACACTTTACACACTTTGCAGAAACCTGGCTTTTTAACCTTCTGGTAAAAAGAATAAAAATAAACCAAACTCTACAAAAATTAAAATATAGATTTTTTTTCTCGTTTATAGAGAACCTCAATCCTCGTCGGCACTCACATGAGAGCCAGAAAACGTGACTATAGGAGAACTAAGTCGCTTATTCTTGATCTTAACTGGACACCGGGAACGTACGGGACGCTAATGCCATTACAAAATGGCGCCCTCATGGAGGGTTTCGCTCGTTGATTTTTTTTCGGAGCCTTTAATATGACAAAAATATTTGTTAATGCTCTTATCACAATTGAGCCCAAGACTAATATTGTGTACTCAGAGGAACCCATGCACCAACACGAATTTAGCAACAAACCCAACCAGCTTAGAAACAGGGTCTACAACTGTAGGTTTTATTTTTTTTTCTTGGTACCTTCGTTCGCATGCTTTGTATATTTGTGTATAAGTTGGTTAAGTCATTTGTTGCTATGAAGTAATGACATCTCGTTAGCGTTTAAATGAGTGTGTATTGTAGATGCTTTAATGTTCGTGCCACTCGAACACAGCACTGGGTGTATGCAAATTTTTCTGGCTTTCTTGTGTTTGTATTTGGTGCTTTAACTTCACCTAGAGCTTCGTAATTTAAAAAAGTTTACGCACATACTTCTATACATACTCGCACAATGAGTTTTGTTTAACTTATTGCCACTGGCACTCAAATTTGCACTCACGCATATTTCAATTGTGGGAAATTTTTCACGCTTGTTTACTCGGCTTGAAAAATTTCTGTTTAATTGGCAATTTACATTGCGTAAATACACAGTGCGTTTGTTGTTGAGATGAACAGTGACCGAATTCTGGCGATTGTTTATCATGTGACGCTGCAATTAATGCAACGATTGTGCACAAATATAATAACACTTTTAGTCTTGTCCCACTTCTTGTTAATTGACATTTAAAAACTTTATAGGGGAAACTTTTGTTTACAATTAACAAATGCAAAGCTGAAGCGTCTTAAAATCTGTTACTGACCGGCGCAGATTTAATGAATGGCAAAACTTTTGGCACTGACAAGACGACAGGGACGCCGAGTATTTCGGGTACGATTCACCTTTAAATCGCGGTCACGGCCCGCGCTTAAAGTGTCAAGCGGCGAGAACGCAGAATATAAAACTTTTGCGGTAGTTTCCTTTTGAGTTGGGCTAACAGGCGAGCATAAATTTAAAGCTCGCGCTCTAAATTTATTAAAATTGGACCTTTAATGTAGTACTCGCAGGTCGCAAGCGCGTTCGTAGGAGAAACTTTGCCAGCCAGCCAGCGCAAAAATGGCTCTGAAAATAACATGGTGGCCTAAAAGCATGCAATAACTTTTCATTTCCGCTACTTAGTTCTACACAAAAATAATTGATTTTTGTGGCACTCCTGGTTAAGGGTAGAAAAGAGCAGCCACGTGGCAAGAGCTACTTATTATGCACCTTGGCACTCTAACATTAGCTCGCTATTGTCGCTGTTTATGGTGAGGGCTCAGCAAGTCTTTTGCATTGGATAGAAAATGCCTTCATCATAATAGAATAAATGTCAAATGCCCATCAATAAGGCAGAGGTTAAAATCAAATACACTTTAAAAGGACATATTTCAGTTAATATTTACAAGTATGATAAGAGTTCATATCTTAAGTGCTGTGGCTATTCAAATAATCATTATTCCTTATACCTTTAATATCATCAGTAGCATCAAAATACAAACAAGCGATTTTCTATAGCTCTCATAATCTTTCATTGGACCTTATGCACTATTAATAGTTTGTGTTATATTTTGTACTTAATAAATTTTAATTCAATAATTTCAATTTAAAACATAAAATGTAGATACTGTTTATTTTTTATTGTCAGACCAGTAATTTATTCTTGGAATATATTTCGAATATAAAATAGTAATGCAATTACGTTCTATACTATGATGACCAAAACCTTCACCTTACCTTCATATTATTAAGCTTGAATTGATGTTTTGCACAAATAATATCAAATCGATTTAAATTATTAATAGGTGCAGTTCTTAGTGGTACATAACCTTTTTTCACAAAGTAACACCTTATTTATGTCATCGAAGAAGAAGCTAATATTAAATTTTGATTTAAACTTGGAAAATCTTTTACCAAATAATTCAATTGATGAATCAAGTTTATGGTGGTAATGGTTTATATCGCGACAGAATCCATGAGTGGCATACCCGGCTTAAAAATGGTCGAATATCTTAGTCAGCCATAATTCTTGATCGTGAATTTCTTCATTGATGTCAATAGAAATGGAATTGAGCATCTCGAACATTTGTACTATTCAAACTATGTATGTTGAACTATTCAACATTCATCGTAAAGGACGCCAAATAAATTTGCCCAAGAAAGGATAGTGTTATGTGGATGGATAGAAGCCATCAAAATGGCATTATCCGGAGGGCCTCGAGTTAAAACACTGGAACTGGGAATATTTTGAATTAAATAAATTTATTTTAAAACAAGTAAAAAAGCTAAAGTCGGGTGTCCCGACTTCGAAATACTCTGTACATATGTTTACAATAATTATAGAAAATAAAAAAAATTAAGAAAATAAAAAAAAAAATTTGATCGATTTTACCTCTCTCGGTATTCGAACTCACGTAAAGGGTGTATAATTGCACATTTACATAGCAATTGCGTTTGTGTGAGTGTATGTATGCCTATGCGCATCTATTCGTGTCTGTGTAAGCATTTTCGCAGTCAACCAAACAGCAACATCAACAACAGCCGCGGGCAGCGCTTGAGCAGCGCTGCAGCAGCGCTGCATCAGCAAATATATTTATGGCTATAACTTCTTGTTAAATCGGTCTATCATAATGAAATTTGGCATACGGACACATAATAACTAACTGGGGGTATTTCCAAAATTTTAGTTCGAAATTCCAAGAATTACGGGAGTTACGATTTGCGGGGTAGAGGGGGGAGGGAGGGGAATTCCAAAATATACATTTTCTGCGTATTCACATAAGGCATCTGGGACTAAAATTTGGTGTTCCTAGGTCTTATAGTCTCCGAGATATAGGCGATTATACGAATGGAAAATCGGGAAAACCCCCATAGGGGGGAAGTGGGGGGGGAAAATCAAAAAAATAAAACAAACTCGTATAGAATACACACATAACGCATCTTCGTGCAAAATTTGGTGTCTCTATCTCTTATAGTCTCTGAGATCCAGGTGTTCATACGGACGGACAGACGGACAGACGGACAGACGGACAGACGGACAGACAGACAGACAGGGCTAGATCGACTCGTCTCGTCATGCTGATCAAGAATATATATACTTTGTGGGGTCTGCCACGCCTCCTTCTGCCTGTTACATTTTTCAGCTCCCGCAAACCTAATATACTCTTGTACATTTCATGTACAGAGTATAAAAAGCCCTTTAGTTTACTTTGTCTTAGTGGGTTATAAATGGTGACAAGGGAGTGCAAATTTGTTGTTAGCTTAAATATTTGAATTGAATACTATATATAATAGTGCAGGTGTATTATCTTCGTTTGAATACAATTTATATTGCGTTTGTAAATTGCGTATTTGTTAATGTCTGCCTTGTCGGCTCCATATCTCTAATGGCTCATTAGGGCTTAGTTCAGTGGCGGACAAACCGCATCTGGTCCAGCAGCAACGATGCGTCTCAAATGATTTGTCCCTCGGTTTTCAGACCATTCCTACACAAAGCTCATGGCCGGGGTGAACAGAAATTGATAAGCGTTGTGCGTTCTTCCATATGCCATATATGCGGTTCGTTATGGTTCCTCTGTGCGCTCATCAGTTGAATTATTATCATGTTGGCTGTTGACATTTCCTTTGCCTTGCAATTATCATGACACATGCTGTAACTGGTTTTTCAAACCGCAAAGTCACAGCCATTTGACGCTCTGCGTGAGTGTGAACGTGCGGACATATGAATGTGTGTACTACTTGTATATATATCTTGATGACATCACTGGGCCACAGAACCGCAAAATCCATGATGCTTATGCGTATGTGTTGAGGACAGCGTCGACGAAGATGCTGACTTAGACAACTGTCCAGGCTGCCCCTTTTACTGCCCCAGATGTAGTTGTGGTCTCTTTTCTCTGCACATTGCGTACTTGATTGACATTTTAGGACAACAAAGTCGCCCAGACACAAATTAGCAACATTAATCGAGACTACAGGGTGTGTAATTAGAGGATTGTTCAATTTATTTGGGCTCTGGAAATAAACTGAAAAGCTCATTTAAATGAGGCATATTGATATTTGCGAACCCTTTTGGACTCCTTGAACCAAAATCATCTTTGCATTGATCTTTACTATTGCAGGGCAGCTGTAAGAGCTGTAAGTACGATGTGGCGAACAGTGAGACCAGCTTAAACGAGTGCTATGAATATGGACACACGAACATTCTGTCCAAACGCAAGTTGTCGCTAGAGCAGACGGAAGGTGAGTGTCATATGCACAAAGTGCCTCAAATTGAATAATCAGCATAACAAGTGGCAAGTCGTTTATCAATTTTTACACGGTCTTTTTTCTCACTCGGGCATACCATTGTGATGCGGTCAACAGATTGCCAATTGCTGAGCAATGCAGCGACGAGCAAGTTTCAGCTGCAGCAACATTACCAACAGCAACAACAACGTTGTCAGCTACCACAACAACAGCAGCCGGATGTGATGCTTATGGCAACAACAACAACGGAGAATGCCATGCTGAAATATGCACCATCGCCACCACCGTCACAGCAACAACACGCATTGCATTACATTAATTCGCAGCAACAGCAGCAATTATCGACAGCAACCCTGCCACGCGCTCAACACCCACAACAACAGCAACATCGGCCCAATTTCGTAGCAGTTCCTAGCAGCATGCTGCGCTTTAATGTTGCTGGACCCACCGGACCATCAGAGGCAACGCCGCATGCACCACCAAACTGCTATAGGTCTGCAACAGCTACGATTTACTTTCCATTTGCGCCTGCATCGGGCACGGATATCCCTGCACATGGCAGCCATCTGACGGCTGCGTCAGCTGGAGCCCATTGTCAACAGCCTTTGGTCAAATATCACACAATACACTTGCAGCCATCGGCCAAGCGTCTGCTGACCGCGCTCGAGCCTGTTGTTGTGACAGCGTCCACAGTGAAGGCCGACGCACAGGCCGAGGCTTCGCCGATGTCCACATTGGAGACCATAACGTTGCCACCGCCGCCAGCCTATCAAACGGCAAATGTGAATGGTGAGTCTGGAATTGGATCCCTTGAAGAACTTTTGATCATACTATAGTTTGTGTAAGCTGACCACATAAGCATGTTTTAGTGGCTGGCAGTTATGGCTTTCATTAATGCGGCCACTAAAGCCACAATCAACGCTCGATTTGCACACAGATGCCTCATACAGTTATTTCAATTTGTTTTGATTTAATCTTAATTCATTATTTAAGATCTGTCCTGGGTTGGACAATTTTTAAATTTTTTGATAATTTTGACATTTTGTAATCATGCTTCTTGTCTTAAAAGATCCTAAATGGTGAAAAGGCAGTGCGAGTAGAGTTGAGCAGTAGAGTAGAGTTGAGCAGTAGAGTAGAGTTGAGCAGTAGAGTAGAGTTGAGCAGTAGAGTAGAGTTGAGCAGTAGAGTAGAGTTGAGCACGGGCCGTGTTGAGCCAAAAAGTCACGACAAAACGCGCACGAGCATTCACGAAAATATAACGAAAAAAGCACGGAACAAATTTACAAGTAAAGTAATAAAACAAGTAGAGAAGCTAAAGTCGGGTATCCCCGTGTGTCTCGTGTGCCTGAGCAAAGCAGTAACAACAACAACAGCTGAGGGCACTACTTGGTCTTATGTACATATATGGCTATAACTTCCTGTTACATCGGCCTATCATGATGAAACTTGGCATTTGGACTTAAATTAAATAATAATAATATATACATAATATGTATATAATCGCAATATTTTTGTGAGGTCAGTTAATATTATTGCACTCAGCTTTAGAATTTACAATATGGTATAGATCATTGGTATAATTGCATTGAAATCTGGTGCGCCACCAACTCATCACTGCTCGCATTCATCCGGAATACTCCAAAGAAATTTCCGGTTGACAAATTTCTGCCCCCAGGACACTCGTGCGCTCTGTAATCAATCAATCATATGCTCAAATTTACGCATTCAATTACGCCTCAATTTGTTTCCAGCGTTTCCATCATCATTTACAACTACTGCAGAAACAGCAAAACCAGCCACTGCTGTCGCTAAAGCGACAGCGTGTTAAAATGACAGATTTAAGCAGAGACACTAACACCGCCGTACTTTGTGAAAGGTGGCGGAAAAGTTTTCAACTCCTAAGTACTGGATGCATGCAGCTTGGTCTTGACTTGTGCTGCAGGAGGAGGTGGGGGCAAGAGTAGGTGACTCGCACCTATAGCAACAACGGCAATAGCACCAACAACTCGCAGTTGAACGACACATGTGCGACAGTTTTATTGATGATAATGATGACTTGGCACTTGGCAAAGATGTCTTCCAGAGTCTCATCTTGTCTGCCTTGCGCAACGCATGCAAAACTCATTAAAGTTATTTAACAGTTGTTGGTGTTGTAACTGCTTGTGTTTTGGTCGTTATTGTCGTCTTCGTTGTCGTTGTCGTTATTCGTGTTGCCTGTCGCTGCCAAGGCACGTGACATATTTATGTAATTTTTGTTGATTTTCCACTTTGCATGTATGGGTATGAGCGTGTGTGCACTTAAGGTTTGTGCCTTGCATAGTGTCTATGTGTGTGTTGCAAAGCATCGCCCAAATGGCTTTTAATTTAACAAATTGCAGATTGTCTCTCAGCCTGTACGTTCTCACGTATACACTTAGGTCGGTCTGCCTATCGAACACCCACATCTATTCAATTGAGTCTCGTGGGCCGGAATGCAAGCTAATTGTTCCAGCTTGACACTTTGTCCTGTGCTAAGAGACAGAGGCAACAACCACGTTCCAAAGCATACAAAAACATGACTCAAAGTCGTTCTTGTGCCAGTCCCGCTGCTTGGTAGACCACACCATTAACGCAGTGCACTTGCCCGGAAAAAAAGTTTCAACAAACTACCAACCTCATTACACCCAGCACGATTCGGGAGCGGGCCGGAACTTGCTGACAAAAACGGACTCAATGGGGGACGTGTCATGCTCTCTAATGAATTTTTGCCCACACATACACACATGTATGGGATGCAAGTGCCTGCAACTGTGGAGCCCACACTTAAGTAAATATTTTGAAATTGTCCACTTCCCGTCGCAACTGACCCCCCTAGGAGGAGTGCAAGGCAGTGGCTTGCAGTTGAAAGTAAAAGACTCCGTTGTTGCACTATGGAACAGGGGTGCAGGGTGCACAAACAAATTAAAAGAGTTAAACCGATTTTAATTTCGTAGAGTCAATCATAGTCCTCACATATCAAGCAGGCCCAATTCATTAACACTCCGTCGTCTACACGCTCTTAAAATTTTTATACCCTGTACCCAAAGGGTACAAGGGTATATTAGTTTTGTGCGAGTGCACATGGAACACACAGAAGGAGGCTTGGTAGACCCCACAAAGTATATATATTCTTGATCAGCATGATACATACACGCATATAAACACGCAGAGACACTATTCTGATGTAAATGTATGCTGTTGAAACTGTACATGAACATGTCTTTAATTTAATTAAATAATGTAATTAATATAATTATTTTTAATTATTTAAAAAATTTTTTTTTATTTTTTCCTTTTTGGTGGGAGCTACAGGGTATTTAAAGTTGAGCTTGCTCGACTTTAGCATTCTTTTCTTGTTTTTTTTTTTGTAATTTCGGTCAATTCTAAGAAAAGTTATTAGCGAAACAAATTCTCGCCAGTACAACCACACCAGACTGCAGCAACAAGCTCGCTCTTCTTCTTCCTCTTTTTGCTGATGCTATGGGCGCATATACCTCAATGTCGGAAGTTTACCTGGGTACAGGGTATTTCACTGTCGGGCTTGCTCGACTGTAGCGTTCTCTCTTGTTTTGTAATGTATTTATTACTTGTAGATATATCAATACAAATTTTGTTGTGCAATGCCAATGTGTTTCTCCACAGTGCGCCTGTTGGGGTGTCACTGCCACTATGTCACCATCCACTAACGAAAGTCATCGCTAAACTTTTGTGGCGCGATTGAGGACCTTCGGCCACGATGCTAGTGAAACTTTGCAAATGCAAACCAAATAATTCTGTTATGGGCATTGCGAACTTGCTCTTTTTGCGTGTTGTTCTAATGTTCTGCCCCTTGCTCTTGGTCTATGCTGGATGCCCCGCCCTTTCTCATCCACCAATCCAATGGGGTGCTAGCGACGAGTGTCAGCATTCGAAAACTTTCAGACTGGCTTGTAGTAGTTTGATAGTGGTGTTTTGTGTGGGTTGCCATTTGTTGGCACATCAAATTGAAATTTATTTAAAAGCCTTTTTTAATCAACGCATGGAGTGTTATGTAACAGATTTTATGGCCTTTTGTTTTCTGTTTGCAGCTGTGCGTTGCGCCAAATTTGTGACCAAACCGTTGCCGCATAACACCAATTCACTCCTGGCTGGCGGAGCTCCTGATATATCTTGCAGGCATGATTTATTTACACATGCATTAACAACGACAGCAACAACAACAACAGCGTCTGCCATGGCGTCAGTAACAGGCTCGACAGTAGCATCATCGGGAGTGGGGGCTGCAACACGGTCTACGGCCACTCCACCATTATTAACCTTCTCGGCAGCAACAAGCCCACAACTGTCAGCGTGCATCAAAGCAACAACAGCAGCAACAATGGCCGATAACAGTTTAATGGCCGCAGGTGTCTGCAGCAGTGCGGCAATGACATCGACAACTGCAATTGGGCCGCGGGCGACAGCAACGGCTGCTGCGACTGCAACAACAAGCGGCCGCGCAGCTGCAGCATTGTCCGCTTTGCTGAGCTCAACTGGCAACGTGGACATAATGGAGGATGAGGATGAGCACGATCGCGAGCGTCTAAGGTGAGTGGCACTAAGTAATAAGTATACGTACACGTGTTTCGTGCGGGGATGGTTTCATCGCAGAATTGCAGTCATTACATGTTTCATTTAAAGTTCCTTCATGCTCTTACTAATTTACCAATTTTAAGAATTTATTGCGTAGGCTCATTTTTATGTGCCAAGCTCTTTGCTGCTTAGTTTTTAAAAAAGACTTTAAATTAGTTCGCGGAACTGAATTGAGAACAAATACGAATACGATTGGATTGCCTTTTTCAAGTGCGAGAAACTATGATATTATCGCGAATGTGGCTATAATAACCTAGGATTAATCCGCCACGAAACAATATTATACGTGTAAAAAATTAGATATTGATTATGTGTCTATTTAGTTTAAGTAGCTTTAGATTTATGCACGGTATTATAAAAATTATGTAGTGAGCAAGGGGGGTGGGGGAAATAATAAATATTGCACGTAATATTTCAGTAAACAGTTTAGACTCTCAATATTTATAGTTATAAACGGACAAAAGTAAATGAAATTTTCTCAATTAAATTAAATACATTTAATTATGCCACAATTTACATCGCGTCTATGCGTGTGCATGTGTATGTGAGGACAAGTCAACAAAATTTGGACAACATTTGTGACAATATTCAAAATAGTCCCGTGAGTAATTCTGTGAAGTTTCGTGGCGATTGCTCAAAGCAATGAACTATCGATTTCTGGCTTATTTATGCTCCTTTCATTTATTTGGCCGACACTTTTTCATCGTAAATAAATAACATTGTAAAATTGAATTCGAAAAAATGTCACCAAAAAAAGCATCTTTTGGAAAAAAAACCATAAAATCAAAAAGTGTGAGCAAATAAGGAACAGCTGAAAATTCCGATGAACACGAATCACTTTTGCAAGATCATCGCGAAAGGGCTTCTACATCTGAGGTTCAGCAAATTCGGAGCCAGTTAAAAGTTATTTACAAAACCGTACGATTACAGCTAACAGTAGTCGTTTTTTTTCGCTTCTCATACAAAGCACCAAAAGCATATTTAATATTAAATAGACTTAGTTCTTGGTTAAATTTAAAAAAGCGCACAACAAGAGAGAAAGCTACAGTCCAGCAAGCCCGACCGTGAACAAAAAAATTTTTATTTTAAAATTATGCGTGATTTTATGCCATTAATACACGCAATCGCTTTTTCAGTGAGTTTACTTAGAGTCACAAATAAGAGAGAGATAAACCTCACCTAATTCAGATGGAGGAAACTCTGCGACTGAAGAGAGTTCTTTCATTTTGTTCAAACGCAGACTCTTAAACTTAAATAATTTCTTTCCGTATTAACTCCTATGTAGTAGAACACGTATAATTGTTTAGCAAAAAAATTAACAAATTTTGAAATATTTAAGCAACACCAAGATACAGTATTTAAATACACGTATTCCTCCTCTTTACTGAATTACTTTGGAAGAAATTGTTGCAACTGAATAATCGCTTTGGAAAAATCATTTTTGAAAATCACAGTTTGTTTGTAGGTAGACAAGCCTTGGCGCTACACATTTTTTCCTTTCCTCCAGATACTTTCTCGGCTCCCACTGCTCTGCTCTGTTACTGAAGGTTTTTTCGCCATCTTATTAAATAAAAACGAACAGTTGCCAATTAATTTTGACGGTGAACCTTTGCATGCGCCGCAGGCGCTGCCTTTACTTCCACTTTAACCTCCGATGAAATGGTTCAAGCGGCTTCGTGCTGTTGGTGGTGGTGCTGGCGCCGATGCCAGCCTTGTCTGTAATTAATTGTAAGCCGAGCTGCGCACACTGAATCAGGTCAATTAATTTCATACGAAGTGTGCAGCATGCCTTGTGACTTGAATCTTGTGTTGCCAATGTGCGCAATATTGTCGAGCTTACACTTCCATTGCTTGCTAACACATTTATAAATAAACATCGGGAAAGTGGAATTCGCCCCGGGGGTTAAGTGATACGTGTGCAAATCGCAACTGTTGCAGATGACAGGCGACGGTAGTTTCCAGTCAGCACTGGCTCCAAGTAAATTAGAGTCAAGAGTCAGAGCGTTTTCTAATCTACCGGACACTCTCTAGAAAAGAAGGTCGAGGTGTTTCACTGTGTATACCTTGGCTTATTCATCAGTACTGGCAACTTCAATAAATGTACAAAAAATTGATTCGACAAACCATGCACTATGTGTAAAGTGCAGGACCGGCGATCCAAAATGTTACACATACGACCTGTGCTCCAAATTCCTTTACTCACATACAGTTATGCTCATGTTGGTCGCACTTCTGTGTTCTTTTGATTCACCAGTTGGCAGGAAGTCTACACACTGGTGTAGGCTTGTGAATAACCATTTCATACTTTTACCAATTTTTAAGCTTTTATTGAAGCTTAAGCCATAAGAGCTAGGAACAACATACTAACTTTCAGATTACTTTTGATGGAAGAATTGTGACAGAAAGTGGAGTCGGTCTGGCGCGACTTCAGAATTATTTTCTTTTATTCTTCATCTTTCTAGTTGAATGCACGACGGTATTCATTAAACTGATTTTTAGCGATGAGATTAAGTTACTATAAATCAAGAGTGTACCCGTATCCTCATAATTTAACTCGGAAAGAAATGAAAACAAGTAAAAAAGCTAAAGGCGGGTGTCCCGACTTTGAAATACTCTGTACATATGTTTACAATAATTAAAGAAAATAAAAAAAATTAAGAAAATTAAAAAAAAATTTGATTGATTTTACCTCTCTCGGTATTCGAACTCACGTAAAGGGTGTATAATTGCACACTTACATAGCAATTGCGTCTGTGTGAGTGTATGTATGCCTATGCGCATCTATTCGTGTCTGTGTAAACATGTGTGCAGTCAACCAAAGCACCAGCATCAACAACAGCCGCGGGCATACTTGGCATACGGACACATAACTGGGGGTATTTGCAAAATTTTAGTTCGTTCGAAGAATTACGGGAGTTAGAGAAAATTGCGATTTGCTTGGGAGAGGGGGGAGGGAGGGAAATTCCAAAATATACATTTTCTGTTGTTGGTGTTCCTAGGTCTTATAGTCTCCGAGATATAGGCGATTATACGAATGGAAAATCGGGAAAACCCCCATAGGGGGGAAGTGGGGTGGAAAATCCAAAAACAAACTCGTATAGAATACACACATAACGCATCTTTGTGCAAAATTTGGTGTCTCTACAAGTATCTCTTATAGTCTCTGAGATCCAGGTGTTCATACGGACGGACAGGCAGACATTGCTAGATCGACTCGTCTCGTCATGCTGATCAAGAATATATATTCTTTGTGGGGTCTGCCACGCCTCCTTCTGCCTGTTACATTTTTCACCTCCCGCAAACCTAATATACTCATGTACATTTCATGTGCAGAGTATAAATATTTCGGAAAAAGTCTGAACAGTTGTTATAACCAAATGGTAAAAATATAATACACATCCAGATAGTGATTATATATCCGTGTACCAAGTTTCATTATGATAGGTTGATCAGAAAGAAAGTTATAGCCATATAACCACACCCAATGCACACATACATACATACAAGTATGTACACATACACCAACACGAATAGAACCGATTCTGATGTAAATGTAAATGTATGTGTGTATGTATGGAATATTTTATATTTAATTTAGTTAATTAATTAAATTAAGTTAATTAATTAATTAATTAAATTAAATGTATTTATTTTTTTGTGGGGTGGTACAGGGTATTTAAGAGTTGAGCCTGCTCGACTTTAGCATTCCTTTCTTGTTTTTGTTTATCTCTATCACTTTAAATATGGACGGCACATACAAGTATGTAAAGAATATGAATGACAGATCGACTAGACACAAAAATGAAATATTTATATTAACCATTACTGATTCCATATTATGCTAATTTGTGTCATTCAAATATACTTTTATTCACAGCAACTGCCCGCACGGAACACCCTCACGCGTGCCACTCATAGCGAGCTCGGCTGCCTCACTTGTGGTGCCACACAGCTCAGCATTAGCCGCTGCCGAAAGGTCAGGCTCGCAGGCGCGCAGCCTGCTCAATGCCACGGCCGCGTCATTTCATCGCCACACGCTGCAGCCCTTAAATCGGAAGACGCTATTGCTCACCAGACGCTGCCAGAAGCATGCCACATTGTACGATCCCACATCCACTACAGAGGGGTCGGAAGATGAGGAGTGTGGTGCTGGCGAAGAAGCTGGTTCTTCTGCTGATGCCACGTGCTTGCAGCACGGCAGCGAACAATTTGTGCTGAAGAAGCTTAGCGCCAGCCAGCGAAGTAGTCATATGGGCGACACCGATGACTGCGATGATGATGACAATGAGCGGTGTGAGCCCTACGAGCATCTGGGAGTCCATCCAGTCCCCATTAGTGTTGTGCTGCTCATACTCATGTGTTACTTGTGCGTGGGTACGTTCTTTTTCGCCCTGTGGGAGAACTGGTCGTTGGTCGATGGCGCTTATTTTTGCTTCGTCACGCTATCCACTATTGGCTATGGCGACATTGTGCCGACGCGCAGCTTTAATGGACCCGAGGTACAGCTATATGCCTGTTGTGCCTACCTATTGCTCGGCCTGGTACTGGTGGCCATGTCCTTCAGCATACTGGAGACTCAGCTCATGTGGAAGTGCAAACGCATTGCGGTACGACTGAAGCTGGCCAAGAATTGATAGCAGTGCGAGGACACTTTTATGCTGTGTACATAGCTTAAACATCTCTTAAGGACTCTGAGGATAATGATCATTAAAATGACTCCTATTAGGCATACTTATATCGAATTAGAGATCGTAGTTTAACACATGGAGTATAATTAATCAACTAGTGCGTGCGTGGTATTTGGTGTAAAGTGAACTAAAGTTAATTTATGGACACTACAAGTATGTACATTTTAAACCTAGCAAAAATAATGTTATCAGACATTTGAATGGCAATTGTAAATAAATAGAATTTTGCAAATTTGGAATTGGCATTTTCTGCATCTACAACCTCCCTCCCTCAGACAATCCACAAAGTTCAGCTGCTCATTGTTTATTGTCTTGTGGTCATCGCCGCTTATCATCATAATTTTGCGAACAGAATTCTTGATATATGATATTGCCGAAGCCGATTCGTGCATATGAAACGCACACGGCGTAGCTCTGAGGGTACGGCATTGTGCCTGTGTCGGCCCATCAGCGTGTTTTTCGGTCCGCCCGTATCTGTATCTGTGTGTACTTGTATAGCTGCCAATGAGTGTCAAGCTGTGCGGTGCGTGGACAGGCCGGACATGTGCTGCTCTGCTTCGACTTGTTGTTGTTGTTTGGAGGCCTGTCTACTTATTTGTGTTCGCCTGTCGCATGGAACACATCACTGCTAATAGTTTATGGCATATTGTGTAGCATATTTATGTGCCTTTGGCATGGAATTATGGCACACATGCGTATACACGTAAATAGCACCGTTGCTTGGCCTATATGATTGTCTGAAACTAAAGCGCGGGTAGATTATTGGATGTCTGGTCAGGTACATGCCTTGAAATGCATTTGACGAAAAATTGCACCTCATGCCTAGTTTGCACATAAAAAAACACCGACCAAATAATATAATAAACCTACAGTCGAATTTGTTCTTAGAAATTGGTGTAATCTTATAGGTTCTTTTACTTTCAAGCCTTCTGCATATTCTTTTTCTATCATGGACAACTTTGATTGTCTATAATTAAAAAAATTAATTTGAAAACAAGATTGGAATGCTGGAGCGGCAACAAATCTAAAACCAGACCAGGGCCCAACTCGTAAACAACTCTATAAACACAAAAACATTTACAGGATTGGGCCTTCTTATGTATGTCGATTTGTGTCTAGGCGCTTATGCGAGAGTGTGTGTGTCCAGTACAGAGTTAAGCCAAAGTAGCAACAACAACAACTGCGGGCAAAGCTTGGGCAAGGATTATATTTGTGGCTATAACTTCGACTAGCATTGACCTATCTCAGTGAAAGTTAACATGAGGACTCACTATACAGATGCAAGATTAAGTTTGGTTATTGTAGCACTTACAGGCAGACATACAGACACGCGGACGGGTGCAATTTCCGAACTTTTTATGCCCACAATAACTCAGCTGTGCCATTAGACGATGTCAGTAAATTCGATATTATATTATTAGCGCTTGTTTTACTCAAGCAATGTAATGAAATAATCGGTAAAAATGCAAATAAAATGAATTACACATTTTTTTGTTCTTTTAGATTCCCTCCTGCCTCCCCCTTGTCTCACCAGTGTGCCAGATATCGTCAAAATAAAATGCCGGAAAACGACGTATTTCCCAGCTGATACAGATGGCCTTATTTTAATACCAACACTGTGGCAAGGACGGATACTTACTAGCCTTGTCAACGCATATAGACGTATCTACGTATATATGTATACATATGTACTTGTATATAAAATCAATTGATATGACATCAAATTGAATTTGTAATTCTGCTTTTTACATTTTTGGGTTTTGTTGAGCAGCCGTCGAAACATCGTGACTTTGTCCTTAACGCTTAAAGTAGGGGTTAGTCTCAGCCGACTTGTTTATGCTTGTGTCCTTATAGCTTTTGAAGCTTCCGGCTGCAAAGTAGCGCTTGCCGTAGATAGGCACAGTATATCAAGGGAGAGACACTGAATTCGCCCACAGGGCCGGGGACCTGAATTTACGCACGTTTGACTTGAGAGGCTGTTTAGCAGTTGGGAAGCCAGCCACGCGGAAGGGTCGACGTCGTGTGGTCGCTATGTACATAGCTCCATTTGAATGTCCTTGCAAAGGGCATTATGGCTTCATCATGGTGCTTGTGACATGTAGAAGGCAATATAAGCGATGGTTGTTAAATTTGTTATTTTTATTTAACTACAATTTGTTTGCAGTAAGTAAAAATTGGTAATGAGCGATCGTACTGATCTGCTGAGATCTTTATATATCTCCGATTTGCCATTTCTGCCTTGTGATTAGTAAACTATTGATGGGTCCTTGCTTAATGATGTTAAATAATAATCAGAATGGAAACCTCTCAGTATGTGATCTGGTCCCCTTTTATGATTACATCTATCGTTTCTTACGTTTTTACGAGGAACTAAATCGTCTCATGTGTAGAGTATGCGGTTTTCGGCGCAATTTCAAAAATCATTCCTATATGTTTTTCCTGGTGTTTGCAATTGTGAATTATGTGTAAATAAATATGCGCAATTTGTGTTGAATGTCAATTGAAATTTGTACCTACTCGTACTCTTGGCCCATTTTAATTCGTCAATATATTCATCCTCAAATATTTGAGTTAGCTTTAATTTATACGTGTATATCCCTCTCCACATAAATAATGTAAAATACACATAGGTATATCATATAAATACAAATATAAATACACAGTACACATTTATCAGTTTGCATTGGGGTTTATCAACAAAAGTAAACAGAAATGCTGCTTGCGAATCGAAACGCAGTTGGTCACGCCACCAGCTCATTCAGAGCCTATGTTTATTAGACTCTTCAGCTCGGCTGGTGTCTATAGTTGTTATGGAGCTTGCATCGGACTGATTGTCATTGGCCACGCTGGGGCTACTCTCATCGAGATCCACTACATGTATGTCGAAGGAGTTGGAATTGCCCAGGGGCACGCAAATGCTGTTGTTGCCTTCAAGACGCACAGAGCCGGCGCTTCCCTCCTCCACGGCAAGAGGGGCGTGTGTAGGAAGCATTGGCGCGTTAATAGGCGGCGGCGTCGGTGCCGACTTCTTTGGCGGAGCGCACGGCTTATTGGACCCGGCACATTGTTGCTGCAGCTTTCCAGGGCATAGAGGCAGCTCGCGTGCTTTGCAATTGGGTTCACGCGCTGGTGCACCTGTTGGTTTTGCATAATCCCGATTGGTTGTAGTCGCGGATCCAGGTCTTCTCTTTGTCAGACGTAATTCGGGTGCCGTCAGCGAGCGCGCGTTGCTACTGGCCAGAAAAGGTGCAGCTCTCAGTGGCGGCCTCCAAATTGGCCTGCAACTAGTCTGCAGAATAGGTGTCTGGCGCACGTTAATCTCATCGCTAATTTGATTGAGCAACTCAAGTAGCGTGCTTGTCTTCTCGTCCACAAACTCAATCCGTATCGGCGACTCTCGTCCAGAAGCGCTCGTCGGATTAAGCATAATAAGTCTATGGGACACACAAATAACATTTATTGAATTGAATTTATCTACTTAGAATTGAGGGAATTATCACTGTCTACTAACTTTTTGGCTTCCTCGATTGCTTTCCCCAGATGATGCAAGTTCTTACGACCATCATTAGTGCACCGTCCGATTTGCGAATTCGGCATCGTGCCCTGTAGTGCCACATTCCACTTATGTGTGGTTGACTGTATGAGTACGGTACGTGCCACTCGCTTGAAGCGTTCCTTCGCCGTTTCTTTGGCCGGCTTGGAGGGTACACTCTCTACTTTGATTTCATGCATGTCGCCTTCACCGTTGACATTTCCATAGGAGTCTTGCTCATTGCCGCATGTTTGCACCGGTGCTACTTGGAAGCCTTTCATAAGGCGACGCTCCCAGACCTTCATACGACGCGGTCGAGGGGCTGTAAAAAGGTGACATTGAACTCCGCGCCTTGAGGTTTTAGTTCACCTCGACTTACGTTTCTCCTTCTTGTTGGCCGAAGATACATCCAGCCCACTGTTCTCGAATATCTCGAGCATTTCATAGCGCATGGTGCTAATATCGCTCTTGACCTCGTTGATATCATCTTCAGTCACGGGGTTATCCTCGAACTTGCGATGCATGGCCACCACATAGCGCCAGACCAGTGAACGCATAATGTTGTCATATTTGTTGTACTGCTCCTGCTCTTGTCGTTTCTATGGAGATAAAGTGTGCTTTAGCGCTTCTTCAGGTCGCTGTTTTATTATTGAGTTTACATACCTTTGACCGCTGCCTATCTATGGCCTTGCTGGACTTTCTAAATGCTCTGATTAGCCACTTTACGGACGGCAGTACATTGAAGGGTGGCGGGAGCGTTGAGCTGTCCTCAAAGTAGCTCATCCACAGCTTGGTCCGCGCAAATTTCCACTCAGTGTCCGAATGTGTCTAGCAAGGAAATGGGAATGGTCAGTCCACTATCAACTTAATTGATGGCGCACTTACATCAATCATGGCATACGAGTTGGACATCATTGCAATAAGCAGGTTCAACAGCACAATCACATTGATGACGCTGTACGATCCGAACATGAGGAGACCCCAGAAGCGCGTGTACGATTTGATGCCCGTGAGCTCAAAGTCGTCCAGCCCCACCATGCCAAAACTGGCCCAGAACAGCGACTGCGAGGACTCGAACAGGCTAAGCACAATAAGTAAGATGGCAAAAAAGAAATTAGTGTAATGAGTAGGCAGTTAAGGTCAGAAAGTCCGAGGCCAGCAGCATTAAATGTGCCTTGTCACATGTCGCAATGTAATTAGCTGGCCGGCATAATGACATTGCCGATCCAGAGACGAACTGACCCATTGCCGGGCCAGTGACTCCACAGCTCAACTTACTTTCCAAAGCGCCGCCATTTCATACAGGAGTCACCATGCGATGTCCAGTCCGCCTCTCCTCCGGGCAACACGTAGCACTTGCTCTTCTCCAACGCGGCAAAGTACCACAGCAGTTGATTGAGGCCGCAAGCAAACGCAAACAACACTAGGGTGTATATAAAGAAAAACTTGACGATGTCAATGACCATTCTACCCAATGAGATTTGAAGCGGCCCCAAGTGCGGATTGATGCTGAATAGATGTACCAGCTTCAGCGCAGAGAAGACGTTGGCGGCGGCGAAAAGTCCCTCGGCTATGAGTTGTGGATCAAAGTCATGCCATTTCTCCCGAGGAATGTATGCCATTTGTGGGTTGCTCGCTATCTCCGTAGCCTGTTGTATGTAGGCAAATGCACTATAAGTAAGCAAGTAACTCTCGTTAGATAACACTTATGTGTGTATGCATGTTTTAAATATTTTATATTTAATTAAATTAATGAAATTTTTTTAATTTATAAAATTTTTTTTGTGTGGTGGTACAGGGTATTTAAGAGTTCAGCCCGCTCGACTTTAGCATTCCTTTCTTGTTGTTATATAAATATATAAAGATGAATCAAATTAAAAGATAAGTAAGTAGGTGAAATCAACCTTTCGGTATGCAAGACTGCTGAATCAATCAAATGTTGTTGAACCCTGGGGTTCTTTTACACAAGTGTGTTATATGGAACTAAATCATTGATTGCTTAATACTGAAGCTGACATACTATATTCCTTGTGAGGTTAATTAGCCAATTACTTTTTGTAACAAAAGAGTTATCAGGTATTATCTTTTGGATGGGAAATGTATGGGTTGGCCATTAGTAGGCCAAGACTTTCAATGCGATGCTACTCGCTTAACAACTTACCGCAGACACATAACGCTCACATAAAGACTGTTGCGCAGAAAATCAATAAAGTTCCACATATTTCGCAAATAGCTTTGTATGCCCACAGCAAATATCTCCTGCACCTCCTCCCACATGAAACCAAATACGTATAGCACGACGAGCAGCTCCAACTTGGTGGGCGCCTGTCCACGTTGACGCAGCTCCTGTTCGGCCAGCTCGGCTTTCATGCGCGTCGTGCCAAAGATGCGTATCACATCGTCATCAGCTCGTTGTGACACCAGAATAAGTATAACTAGAAGGTACAGATGTAAATTTGTATACACGCATGTAATCAAATGGCAATAAGTTACATAGCTGTAATTTCAGGGCAACAGTTATGCCCATGCCATATAAACTATTTTTAGGCTGTGTTGCTGTTTTTGTTTGATTCTTGCCTTGTTCAGGTCTTGCGGGATAATTTGGTCGGACTTACATAAGAAGAATAAATAGGACGAGGCATGTATGAGAAACTTCATAAAGGGCTTGCGCATCAATTGTCCCGTGGTACATGAAGGAGCAAACATGTAGATCAAACAGTAGAGGGGGAAGAGAACAGCGACTTGCACAATGCATAAGAATCTATTCATAATGCTCTTTCGCCGAAAGCCAGGAAGTCCATCGTACCAAATGGACGAGAGCAACTGCTGAATATTCGAGTGCGCTACAAACTGTAAGGAGTTGGTATCTAGAAAAGAGTCTGGGGAAATTCTGGAAGTCGTGAGCTCACTTACCTTTTTCTGCTTGTAAGATATTGCCTGTACCAAGCGCGTCAGGCTCATGCGATCCCCTGGCTCATAGGTGGACATTTCTGGATCATAGTTAAGTATTATGGCAAGTTCATTGGAGGTCCGCGTTTGATCTAACAAGTCGACCGCAAATTTTTGGCACTGACCTCGCAGCTCTATGTACTCCGCCTTGCACTCTTGCTCGGTTAGCGACAGATTGCGGAGTTCCCACGATAATTGGAATGCCGTTAAAATAGGATCATGGGAGGTCAGACAAATAAGAGAAGGACTGCAGAGCGCACGATAAATATTGACGCGCGATAGGGAGTGACGAAGCGAATCCTCACTGGAGAGGCGCACGCACTCCTCGCAGCCGCATCTTTGATGGAAGGAAACAAAAATATCCAATTGGAAATTATTTCTCCAATAACTTTTAATTTAATATAATAGTAAATATTTATGTATTAGGTAAAGTTTATGGATGAACATCCTTAGCAGGGAAAGGAAACTTTTGAAGTAAACTTGTACTGTCTACACATATGCAAAATTTGGTGTCCACAACTATGACTTGGTCTACAACTATGGTCTCTGGGATCTAGAAGTTCATACGGAAGAATGGACAGAGAGATAGACATAGCTAAATCGATTCGACTGCTTATGCTGATCAAGGATATGTACACGTAATGGTGCTGGAAATGCTTTTATTCTGAATATTCTAGCCCTTATACTTTCAAAGATAAAAGCGGATAGACGGATCTGTCAGTCCAGACGTGTATGAATTATATATGTACATTTGCAATAAACTAGCACACCATTAAGGTATAGGGTATAATTAATACAACTTTAGCAAGAATATCTTTAAAATATAAGATTTACGGATTCAGCACTAATGAAGGAAAATTGACCAACAAAATTTAAAGCCTATACCAAATTAACCGAAATGGTGCCTTTGGTCTGAAATTTTTAATAATTACATAGATTCTGAGCAATCTGCGTGTATGTGGCAGGAAAGTGGCTCAGACAAAAACAAACCGTGAAAACTACAAGTACAAGAAGTACAGTGAAAATAATTTCTTTTTTGCGCTATTAACTCCGATAACACTTTAAGCCCCAACTTGCAAGCTATGGAAAACCTGTCATAGCAGAAGAGTGTAGGTTGCATTAAAAAAGAAAACAAGTACAAAACGTTTTTATGACCAATAAATACCGAAAATGTTGCGGATGTGTTTTTGTTCTTTGTGCCTTCTCATACTTACCGTATGTCGTGTGGGACGGGGACCGCCGCACCACGATCTAGTAAGATGCGTAGGATTTCAAAGTTATTTTTATGTGCAGCCAGTATTAGAGGTGTTATATCTGGGGGAAACATGGCGGTGTTAATGTCCACTTTTTGCCAGCTCTGGAAATGAAGTTGAAGAATATTACATGTGCTGCCCACTCTTATACGCCTAGTTGCTCAATTCAGTCAACGTCTCTGCAACATTGGCTGCTTAATCAAGCAAAGACCAGAAACCACCCAGTGGGCAACGCAGAGTTACAGCGCTGTCTGCCAATGAATAGGAATACAAGTATATCCACACAATATTATGCTTTATAATGTCTAGTGTGTTAAGCATTTTATTGCACCCTGAGCATATGATTATCATATACTTGTACTATATGTATGTACTTGTATGTATGCATTACAATAGTCATTTTCACGCTCAAACAGCGCCCAATGGATGCCTAATGAAGCGTGCCCGTGCGCATAAATATAAAGCAGGATGCACTCAAACCGACACACAGCTTAATTTGTTACATAACAGATGAATGCTCTGTCTCAGGCTAAAGCTGTTATCATGCTCGCAATCGCTCGAGCTTCTGTCACGAACGTGCCTAACGACATCTAAGTCGACGTTGGCGTTGGCGTCGGCATCGGCGTCCCTTCTTCAACAGCGCAAAACTGATTAAAATCATGTTAACTTCAACTTACAGACTAAGCCCACTCAAATAACCCCACCCCATTTAAAGATGTGGGATGTGGGCCAAAAATTAGCTTGGCTCAGCAAAACTTACATACAGCTCTCCTTCTTTGTAGATGAGTTCCTCATGTTCGAGCAGTAGCTCCACAGCTTCAACGAATTCCGCATTGATGGCGTGCAGCAACGCATCCTTTGTCTCGATGCCCATCACAACAAGCAGCTCTACCATCTCCAAGTTCTCGTTGTCAATAGCCAGAGTGAGAGCCCGTCTGCCTAGCGGGTCCATACAGTTGATGTTGATGTGATGGCGTCGCAGCGCCTTCTGTAGTATTCTGGAAATTTTTTTTTAAGTTGTGTCCTTATTAACGCTACAAGTCAAGTAATTAAAACAAATGCAGCACCCTCACAGAAACATTTGAGAAAAAGTCAACAACTTTTACTCGCTCTTTCAATTCGGGCACAAAAAGTTTATAATTACATGCGACCTCTGCCCCTGATACATAAAGTTTGCCAATCAATCGAGTGCCAAAAAGGCACTCAAAATTTGTGGCCATTGGCAAAAAGTTCATTTCTATTTTGGTTAATGTTACAGCTCAGTAGCCTGGGCACTTAAAATTTGAATTTTCAGTAATGCACAAATGGAACAACAGATTTGTGTTGGTCAACACGACTCCTTTGGTTATACACAAAAATCTTGATCTAGTAGCCCATGCCGGTCAGCTGTCAAAACGCAATGAGTGCTGACTTAAAATGATTAACTTGTAAAACTCATTTCCCAGTCGTTCGTCAACGTAAATTGTTGTAAAAAATTCAAAGAAAATAATAAATAAACTACATATATTTAACAAAAAACTTACACCACAAGAAACGTTCTCTTTTGGCAGTTAAATTTCTTGTAAGCTATTTCAAAATCAATAACGGAAAAATGAATGCGACCGAGGGACAGAGCCTAGTCATTAAGATGGCGCAGAAGAACAAGGGTGAGTGTTGCCAGTACTCGCATTATGTGTGTGAGTGTGTGTGAGTGAGTGTTCGGGACTTGCTAAACATTTTATCTAACCTTGACCAGAGACTCAAACTGTGAAGCTGGGCGGATGGTTCGGCGCGCCCTTTCAAGCAGCAAGCTACACCAGCCTCATCCCCCAAACGACGTGTCAATTCTACATGGACCGTGAGGAGGAGCTCTACCGTCGTGCCTGCCAGATGAAGGGCATACACGTGCAGCGCGGTGACGAGCTGCGGGAGGACGAGGACCCAGGCTCCGATGGGGAGCCCTCAAAGGTTATCTATCGCTATACTTTGGACGAGATGAAAAGCTACAATCCATATCGTTTTATAAACTTTTAAGACGAGTAATCGCGGTTGCCGCGAACAACACACTCAAATCCAAGGACAGTTGTTTCTTAATCTTAGTTTTTATTGGGTTTCCGACCACGACAGAAACCCTTTCACAATACATACACTAAAAGAGCAGCGAAGGAAAGCTTTGGTAATATGCAAACTTCAATATTGATATACACACATAATGCATGTTCATGTTCAGACAAACAGACACTCCAATTAAAAAGCTTTTACTCCAGACAAAAGTTTCCCTAAGATAGTTTGGGGTTTTGTTTTTTCTTCTGTCATTTCCGAACTAGTAATGAGCAACGTTCTGTTATCGATTGATACAATATCAAGGAATGTTAGACAACGAACATTTAAAACGAAATTGGAATAAATGCGTTTATAGTCATTTCAAAAATGTGGAATTTGTTTATTGAATTGAATAATTCGAAAAACTCAGACAACTAAGTATCGAAATCCTTAAATGTGACGACCGTAGATCGACTACAGTAGCCTGGAGTCGATATAATACCTAAACATCTGGTGCTTTCACGTGAGTTTCTCAAGGCAGCTATTAAATTTCATCATGTACACGGATGATACGGCTTTTGAGGCAACAGCTTCAGATATTAAACTACAATTTCTCAAAGGATCGATCAGTCATATAAGATAGACAATAGGTATTTTCCTGGTATTTAAATTCCATTGAAATAGCTGTCAGTCTCTATTTACATTCACAAACAATCACGCTCTCAGTGCTTTGGCTTTGAAAACAAACGTTGGGTGTAGACAAAATGGATCGTTTGCTTTTTTCCAAGTATAAGACCTTTACACAAAGCATATCGCCCTTCCCATCAGGGCGATTACTATCAAAGAACATCACGTATGCGCCCCAATACATTACAATTGGTATGCAGCTTTTAAGGACTTCTTGGCATTCTGTAATATTTGCTTGTTTCCCAATCAGCGACAGAGTTTAATGAAAATCACTTGGAAGAAGAGAATGACGATGAGGGAATAGACTTTCGGTTCGACCCTCCCGATGACGAAGGAAATTCTTTTGGTGAACTTCCAAGGCACTGGGATGATGGCTTCTTTGAAAACGATCCAGCTTGCCTGGAAGTGGTGCGGGTTGTGTCTTTTTATTGTTACTTTCCAAAGGATTCGTTAGGAAACGGCATCAGTATTCAGTTCAAGAATGTTGGAATTACTTATGCGCCAGGGGACTAGCTAATCCAATGCATATGAATAGTCAGTAGCCGTGTAGAAGGCCAGTTTTGGAATCCTTTGCTCCGTTGGCTATAGCCGTCGTTCCTCAAGAGAATAAGAATAATTTTTTGTTTCAGTTTTTCATTTTTTCATGCGTTGCTGTCAACTCACTTAAGTATTCATTGTAAAAACCAAATTAATTGTATATTTATTAAAATTGGCTTTAAAGCTCGGCAAACAAGCAACTTGCTGTGCCCATAATTGAAGCCGCCAGACCGACAGGCCGACAGCCCTCGCATTCAAGTCGAGTAGGCGGATGTGTATAGGATTTATATACTGCCTTCTCATGCTATGGGCTCCGATATCAGCATACAGCCAATCGACACCTTCACTCCCCAGGCGTGCGTCATTTAAAAAAGCGCAAAAACCGCAACGCCACTTTATAAGTCTGCCTGTCGTCCACCCATGCACGTGTCCTTGTTGTTGTTGTTGCTGTTGTTGTTGTTGTTCTTGTTGTAGTACTCACCTGCGCACATTTGGAATATCGCCACGCTCGACAGCCAGCAGAAATTTCTTCTCCTCGAGCAGCAAAGGTTGTGGTAATCCCAGCGGCACACAACCACCCACCGTTTTAGGGGCACCGGCTCCAGCTGCAATGCCGCCATTAGCTCCAGGGGTGGGCGCAACCTGCGCATACATATAAACAAGTATGTGTGTACGGATGTATTTATGTATGTATGTATGTAATTTTAGTTGTTTTCCCCGTTGTAAAAAAGGCGTCAGTAGGCATTTTTTCAATGCGCGCCGCCGCGTGTGAAAAAAACGCAAGTAAGTGGAATTGCAAATGAATAAAAAATAAACAAAATATACACATAAGCGCTCACACATACTCGTTTACTCGAAAATTATGTGCAAAGCGCGCTTAAGTGGTGCGCAGTTGTTGTTCCTTTTGGTTTATCTGCGATACTTAAATCGCAGGCAAATTAAATGCGCCGCCGTAAGAAGAGTTTACGTTAAGCTGCCTCGATTGCTTTGTCGGGTGATGATAGACTCGCATAGGAAGTACTACACGCAAGGCAACAAGAACTGAGCCAATCCTATACACTCGGACTACTATAACTTCACATACATACATACTCGTGCTATATGTAAAAAGCATAGGGCGGAAAGTTTTCGATCAGTGTCCGGTCGGGTTTTCATACTTACGCCCACTCGTACTTTTTTCTTCTTGTGATGCATGTTTATTACAGTGTCAAATGCCTGATAATTCTTTTGACAAAAAGTAGTTGGGTCGTCTAATTTATGTATGTGGGTAAGAATACTATGGATTCCAGTTTTCCCAAACTTGTTCAACACTTTTTGCTCACGCGCTGCTGCCCATGTAGACACCGTTGGGTTCATACACTATAGCACTTTTTCGCAGTCAAATGTCATAGGACTTACGGGTACACATACAAGTGCACATAAGTACAATGCACACAGACGCCTACACACAATCCACAAGCTTAACTAAAGCTCAAACACTAAGCCAGCAGATGCAACAAAAGTTGATTATGTGGCCCGAAGTTATTTATGTATTTATTTTATTTTTTGCTCTTCTGTTTGGTTCGAAAAAGCCACGGCTTAAGCTGTTTATAAGTTTTGGTGCGTCCAAGCCTTTTTTAAAATGATTTTTCACACACTGCAGGGTAATTTACACATTTAACTCTGCACAGTTGTTAAGCTGCAAGTAGAATGAATAGGAGTTGCTTTTAATACACTTGCCACTAGTAGATGTGCAGTAGAGATTCTCCAACCTCTGCAACACCAAGCGATCCATGGAACATTACACTACACTACACAGCAATACTGAGCTCGCCACTACGAGCACACACAATACAACGTCCCGCTGCTTCCTAGCAAACGAAATGTTCAGAATTTTCGTAATCGCCGCCTCGATGCACTTTTGGCAAACACAGTTGCTCACATATTGCATATTTGAGTTCAATCACATTTTGTTTTCAATTGCTCTTCTAATTCCCCAGAATGTACAAGTATACACTCTTATTTACTTTTTATTTTCACAAAGTGCACTTCCCCGTGCCTTGAAGCTGGCACATTCGCGTATATATAATAAGAGCACCACGTCACTTGTAATTTTTATAATTTTCACAGTTTTTGCCAATGTTATTTTTATTGAACGTTTATTTATTTGCTCTATATCATTTCAGCCATGGAGAGTAATATCTTTACTTATGTAGATTGCGTGAGAGCCTAGTGCTGAAGAGCATTGAGGAGAACAATAATAAAAATGGAATGCCTGCTTTAAATTCATAAAAAGCGCAAACGTTCTATGAATCGTTTTTGGCTGTTAAAAAGTGTGCTTGTTCCTGTCGTCCTTGTCGTCCTCGTCGTCGGTGGGGCTATTGTGCAGGAACAAAAGACCGCTGCCCATTGCTTTGTTTAATTAACTTAATAGAATTATAAGTGTGCTGATACAGTTTTTGCTGTTTTTTGCGAGTCATAAAAATGTCACAATAAATTCCATTTATCTGCTGTCCTTGTGCGATAAGCATGGCGGGATGAGTATGGCTGCCTGGCAAGAGTTACAATCGAGTGGGGGCAACTGGACGAGTACGGATATTTAAAACGGTAATTGCTGTTGAAAATTTGATGATATACTCGCAGCAGCTATGTGCATACTGCTACTTATATATGTACAAGCATGAGTCTAGGCACAAGCTGATGATGCAATCGAATGAGTTTCTGTGGACCATTGCGGCGTCGGCAAATGCCACGCCCTCAGCGCAAAAGAAAAAGAAGTGTGTAAACTGCCTTCGGCGACTGTTCTGCAAGCACGTGGCATAATTCATTTTTGGCTGCTAATCCGGGGCAGTTAAGCCACTTACGTTCTCCTGCATTCTGCCTGCACATAAAAAGGTGTGCAATTGTTCAGCTTTGCCAAACAATGGTGGAACTTTCATATGTGGCTTGTCAAGGATCTGCTCATACTGCTCGTACTTTTCACTTATCACTTCAACAATAGGGCTGCAGCTTTTTAGCTTTTATATACCCACATATGTATTTATAAACACGCGTGCACTCGCTTCAAACACAGAACAGAATAGAAGGAGCTTGCCTCACGACACGCGTTGGCACAATGCTATTGACGAGCCGCGTGCTACAAGCCGCTTGTTCGACTGCGACTTGCGAATTTCCCCGTTGCGATATGTTTGTGGGCACGTCGATGCCGCCACACGGAAATTTATACCTTTCCCGAGGGCCGTCCAACTAATTTAATTAGACTAAAATGTCAAATATTTGCCCAATAGACGGCCATAGCATAGTTCTGTGAAGGTCAGGGCTGAACCTACTCATGTGAGTTTGTGTTCACGTATATGGGAGTTGACTGTGTGCGGGGGTGTTATGAACTGCAGTCGAAGTTCAATAGCCAACGGCGTCGGCATCGGCATTACCTTGCCGGGGGTCATGTGGCAGCCAGACAGACCCAGACTTATCAACAAGTTGCACATGTTGTTGTTGGTACTGTTGTTCGCAGTAAGGCGATTAGGCCGCTACACGCCTGATGCCGTTGGCGCCTTCAACAGCCTGAAAACAATTCAATTACAACTAATTTTCTGTTATTTCATTTGCGTGCTTCTTTTCTTCTTAAACCTGGACTTCTCCCTAAAATATGTATAGGACAAAATATTACGCACATTTTTGTTGCTAAAAGAAACAGTAAATAAAGAAAAGTATCCGAATGTGGAAACGATACATTAGAATGTCGGAATATAGATACTTAGATATTTACATAAAGTATAAGAGTGACAAGACCATTCGTATGTCCATCTGCATGCCAGTCCGTATGTCCGTCAGTCCGTTCGTATCCACAATATTTGAGCCATAACCGCTAGTTTTACAAAATCTGTTACACTCAGAGATACCAACAATTTGGTAAATCGCCATAAAAAACACAAAAGACCAGCTTTTGCAAATTTGCATTCTATAAACAAATGTTTTATGCCCTGGAAATTATGGAAATATTTCTTATTATCATAAATATGTTTTTCCAATCGATATATATGATCAAGTTTAAAATATTTTCTCTAATGATTAAATTTCCCTCAGAAACAAATAAAAACCAAATAACCAATAACCAAATATTTGGAGTTATTGTCTCTTTGCGACGATAGCATGTGGCTGTTTGTTTCAGGCCATGGCCATTACCGATGTACATATAGGAGTATTAAACTATTGCAGGAGCTCTCGCTATTTTGTGAATGACCTATTTTCAATTTGCATACTAGGGACACAAAAAAACGGCCGTATAAACCGACCACATGGCTGGTTCTCGAAAGAGTGAGAGAAATTTACAGTTGGTTGTTTATACAGGTTATTTATACAATCATATAGCTATATCCTTGATCAGCATGACAAGACAAGTCAATTAAGCCAAGTCTGTTCATCTGTCCGTCCGTCCGTATGAAAACCTAGATCTCAGAGAATTTTTTCCTTATTATTAATGGTTTTCCATGCCTCCCGAAATTCTTGAAATTATTTAAACAAATTTGGCAATTACTTTCAGTTAGTGCACATATATTTCAGATATTCCATATTTTATTGTGATAGGTCAGTTTTACAGAGAGTTTTAGCCATAAATGCCTAATATACCCTTCTTATCCATCGGACACGGGGTATACATATATTGGTTTTAACAGAAATTTCAAAAAAGGCTATTTCTTGCTCATTAGTGATCGGTATGACAGGTTTGCGCTTTATTTTACTCGATGTGTTTTGTATAAGTAAAGTAGACTTTAGAAAAATTGAATGGGTTTATCAGGTCTTGATATTGATGTGGTCAGTTCGCTGTCCATTCTCTTTGGACCATTTTTATAAGGCTGTCAGATGCAGCGTGTTCAATTTGATTTGAAATATGCGTGTCTGTGTTTGACAATCTGCCAATTTGGGCGTATTGCATGCCATTTAGGTACTTGACTATGTCTAGAGCAGCCACTTGAAGTTACAAATCCAAAAATACCATCAAATCAAAACGAATGGTACGTGCAGCGCGCCGCCAGCAGCACACAAACACAAAACAAACAAAATTAAATCAAAAATCTTAAACTGGTTTTTGATGAAAGGGCGCACCGCAGAGCGATAGATAACGGTGGAAAGGGTCTGGTTCTTCCGGTACATGGCCGCCCGTGCAGAAAAAGCCAAAGTCAAGGAAGCAAGCTGAGGAAGGAGGCAGCTGGAAAAGGAGTAAGTTTAAGCAGCACATAGCAACGCGTGCACGCAAACATTTCAGCACGTAAACTCATTTGGACCACATACACGCTTGCACTTACATTTTACACATACATATACATGTACCATATACTATATACACACATACAAATGTGGGCAAGGACGCACAGGTAAAGCATGTTTGATGGTTGCGTGTGTCTTTTATCGTGGGCGCACGGAGCACCGATCCAGCAAGCCGTCAAACAAATGAATTGACTTTACCAGTTGAAAATGCTCCACTTTCTGATGCTGATGCTGTTGCTTCTCCATGCCAGCCCATGGCAAGCAGGAGCCCGCAAGCTTTGCAGCTCAGGGTCGCGGCGAAGTGCCTTTAAAGCTGCACATGGTATTGCACATGGCCACAGAACGTCCTGTTCATTGTTCATTGCATGCGCTGTGTGCCATGGCGGAAATAAGAT